AAAAAAAAAAAAAAAAACACCACGGACGTCGTCATCTCCCACCAGAGCGCGCGTGGCCTCTCCCGGAAGGGTGGCGGCCATGCGATCCTCCCCGGCGCCCTCCTCTCCGTCCGACACCTGTGCCCCGTGCCCCACTGACGTATGCCGCATGTGCTGCAGCGGCCGCCGCGGCCACCTATGCCCTGTGTCTGCGGGCCGCAGTCTCGATCGGCTCGGACTCAGTGTCTGCGTCCTCGTCCTCCTCCGCCTTTGCAGCAATCCCCCCTTCTCTCTCCCTTTGAATCGCGTTCAATGCTGCCTGCCTAGTGGCGACCCCTACAACGAGTCAAGCCTCAACCTCTGAGAGGCCATGCTGTCGTCTCGTCCCGGGACGCATCAACAACCCCTCCTCGCCCGATGTGAACTGCTCTCCCCGCAGCCTGTCCGTGGATGTCCCTGGGCCTCGAGGACCAATGTCCTCCTCGTCTCCGCTCATGACAAACCAAGCATGCGGCCTGCCATCTGCAGGCTCGGACGTCCGGACCCGCCCTCCGCAGCCTGCGTCTGAACAGGCGCACGTCCCGTGAAGATGCCCCTCCCGGCGTCGTAATCCGCCCGCAACCGGTCCCCGACCCGATGAACAGCTGACCATCCGCCACCCACACCTCCTCGGACTGGCGGCGGGGATCCGCCACTGTGCGCAACTCCGGGTGCCACCGTCCGGTCCCCGGTGTTGACCCTGCCCTCCGGAATCCGTGCGGGCGGTGGAGGCATCGATCCTGCACTATCTCTACCGTCGTCGCTGCGTCTGCCAGACCCCACCTCACCCGCACCGGACTCCCTCCCTCTAACGTCGCTGAGCGACGAACCCGACCAGTGAGGGCTCTGCACTGTGAACGGCGGCGGTGAATATACCCTCCCAGGGGCCCGCTGCTTGCCGCTCTTGCGGCTCAGGTGTGCGAAAGGGTCATCCGTCAACGCATGCGCCAAAGCGTCGGCGTCGAAGAAAGTGTGCGATGTGCCGTCAGGGCACATGGGAGGCACTGTGGGGTCCCTCAACACCAAGGCGAGCCTATACGGATCGTCCTCCGGACCGTGGTCGTCGTCATCGTCACCGTCCGGTCCATCGTCTCCACCGACACCCGCGGTATCCCAATCTCCACCGGGTCCACCCTCTCCTCTGCTGCACACTGCGGCACCCTGTCCCTCATCACCCGCGGTCTCGCTGTCGCCACGGCCCCCACTAGGGGACCCACCGCCCATGACAACATCCTGCCCCTCAAGGACACCCGCGGTGGCATCCTGCCCCTCATAATCGAACTCCCCATGAACCGCCTCCTCAGGACACCCGAGTTGTCGACGTCTCTCTCCCCTCCTCTCCTGTCTCCAAGTCCCTCCGCCGACGCTGCTCGTCGAGATACGCGAACCGACCCTCCCACTGTGGCAAACTCCTCAGCCGCTCCTCCTCCTCTCGGTCCAAGCGGGCATCCCTCTCCTCCTCAGTCTCAGCAGGGCCCCGCTCAACGTCCGCGTCTGTGCGCACATCCAGCGGTGAGGCACGTCCACGTCCCTCGACACTCAAATCTCCCAAGCTCCCGCCAAGCCCTATGTCCTTGAAGTCTTGTGTGCGGAGCACCGACGGCGAGCGGGGGCGGATACCGGCGTCGGAAGGAGTCCTCTCCCCCCCAGGATCCTCGCCGTCATGTGTCCGGTTTCTGCCTGCTGCCGACGCCAACCTCTCCGAACGCCTAACTGGCTCCCCCTCAGGCTGCGCAGAGATCGGATGATGGGAGGGAGAGAAGCGACGATCGCGAAGGGGCACCTCCTCATCCTCGGCCTCCCCCTCCGCCTCGCTGTCGCTCCTAACCTCCCAACGCCTTCCTGTCTGCCAAAGACCTCCCCGTGGCTGCTGCTCCCCCGAGTCGTCCACGCGAACCTCCACATGCGAACGTCCTCCATGACCACCGCCGGCTCTGCTGCTGCCACTCGCCGGCGCGGTCGATGGCACAACACCAGTGATAACTGATGTGAATGAATCTGTGTCGTCACGACCCCCAGACCCCCCCGCTGCACCGCTGCTCCCAGGCACCCCTAGACCCCCCCGCACCGCTGCTCCCTGCACCCCCCGTCATCGCCCCCCCACCAGGATCCAACAAGTCGTGACCTCGATCTTCGATGTCGTCTGACCGTGCCGCACCGTCGATGTAGCGTCCCCTCGATGTCGCTGCACCCTGACGCCCCCACGGCGCTCCTGCCGCCGTGTCCCCTCGATGTCGCGCCAGGCCACGGTCCACCAGCACCCCAGCTGGCCGCGCCCGCAACTGGTCCTCCAAGGCGGGCAGCTCTGCCAGGCCGCCGTCGGCCGTGATCGGCCTCGATCGGCCGCGTTCAGCCGTGTTCAGCCGTGCTCGGCCACGGCCGGGCACTAAAAACGCCGCGCGCTTGAAAAAGACGCGCGCGGCGATGGCGACGACCGTACGGCGGCCTCAGGGCAGCGCGGGGCCGCTGTCCCGCGTGCTCGAAGAAGAAGAAGAAGAAGAAGAAGAAGAAGAAGAAGAAGAAGAAGAAGAAGAAGAAGATCTCTCTCTCTATCTCTGTCTCTGTCTCTGTCTCTCTTTCTCTCTCTCTTTCTCTCTCTCTTTCTCTCTCTCTTTCTCTCTCTCTCTCTCTCAAGAGTCTTTCTCTCTCTCTCTCTCAAGAGTCTCTCTCTCCCTCTCTCTCTCTCTCTCTCTCTCTCTCTCTCTCTCTCTCTCTCTCTCTCTCTCTCTCTCTCTCTCT